TGGTCTTTAAGTAGACCGAGGATTCTGTATCCTAAGGGAACGCTCTTTTCTCCTATAAGCAAGGCTGTAAAGGTATGCTGGCGTGTAAGCGCAATATTGATGTTTTGTTTTTACAGTGGAGTTTTTGGTGGCCTGGTGGTTTTTCTTCTGTTGCTGTTTTTTATTTTTTAACAATAAACTTTTTATTTTATGTGTTTCGAACTTATGGTGTTTTTAAAAGTTTTTATCTTCTGCTTGTTGCAAGATGAGAATTTTGGAACATAATTATTTTATTATTTATACTAGCTAATACTGTCCTGTTTTAAACGGGATTATAAACACGATGCATTCCCTTTTTTTCAATCTGCGTTCTGTCTTTGGGCTTGTATGTACTGCTTAAAAGCAAATGCCCTTTTTATCTGGCGTGCTGCAGAGGAATGAGACTGGTCTTAAAGTAATACTCTAATGAGCTTAAGACTTTATCATTGCCGCCTGTTTCTTGCAGGCTTTTAAAAAACGCACAATTCGTTAAATAATTATTAGAGTTTATCTTTATAAAAGGCATAAGTTAAAATTTAATATATTTTTGTCTTAAAACTTTATATTTAAACTAACATGTGATTGTAATACCACATTATCAATAATTAAATTTTGCAATAGCCACTTATTTTACGATTTAAATAATTGATATACTACAGGAAAATGCACAACAATATTGCACTGTGTTAAATAGAAATAAACTTAACACTTGTGTTATTTTTTCCAAAAAAAACAAAGAATTTTACAAATTTTTAAAAAATAAAGGAATAAAAAATAAATTAATGTTTAAATTCAAACTTTTTATATATATTGGCTAGCTTACGCTTTCCTGTTTAAAACGGGACTACGAATATGATACACAATTTTTTTTATTAAAATTATGTTTATATGTCTTTATTATTGTATGTATTGTTATAATTTAATTAATAATCTTTAAACTTTTGATTGAAAAATTAATGTGCCATTTACATTGTTTTTGAAGTTTTATACTATTTTTTTTAAATTATAGTTAAGCCTATTTGATTTTTACTCTTTAAATAAAATTATTTCATTTTACCCATCGATGCTAGTTATAATAATTAATATTTTACAGCTTATTATAGCAAGTAATAATTGTGATGATCAGTTAATGACTAGAAATATTAGAAGACAAATGTTTTTTTTGGTTGATAAAAAAATTAAAAATAAAGAGTTTATTCTCCTTGAAAATGCTGCTAAAGATTTATATGCTTATTTTAGAAAAGGAATTTTAGTTGATATCAACAAAATAGAAATTACGATTTGTCATGTTTATAAGGATTGCAAAACTAATCATAATTTTACTTATACAGCTGACAAACTTGCTGTAGATGATCCAGATTTATTTAATATTTTCAGTTTTTTTAAAAGTTTGAACGTTGAAAGAGTTTTTTTAAGCACTTCTTACTACATTTCACACTTTTTTAAAACTGAGAACGGAAGTTTTATTTTAGCTGACTTTATGAATAAGCTTTCTGCACGAAATGGGGGACCAGAGTTTGTGTACGATACAGTTTATCCTATCTTTAGTTATTTTCACCGAAATAAACGATGTATAAATCCATATTGTAGTGCTATTACCGAATACAGACAGAATTTTGGAAAATTAGATTTTTGTATTACTAACGATAATAAAACAGGATATGTGTTTTCTATCGATTGGGGTCAACTTGATTATTCTGATTTTTTAAAGAAAAAGATAAAATTATTGTATAATGACAACTGGCAACCAGTTTATAATTTTTTGCTTAACTTTGATATAGTAAAATCTATGGCGTTTTGTAGCTTAATAGAAAAATTTTATACATTTTATCGTCAAATGAAGAGAACTAATAATTTCCCTATTGGAACTTTTATTAAGATTACCGAAGAAAATATAATCTTTCACGAAAGGTTTATATACGCAGTTGAATTAGATAAATTAGTTGGTGTTAAAATCAATTTTACCACCTATGAAGATTTTAAACAATTGAGGTCACAGTTATTATCATTGCCTTTAGATCGTAGTAAATGGGCGATGTTTACTTTATTTTCTCTTTCTGGTAAACCTCTTGTTATTTGTTTAGTAAAAAGAATTCTATACTCTAACTTATCAGCCAAAAAAATTTTTTTTTTAGAAGTACTTTTTTCCATAGGCCTTATTGAAAGATCAGATATCAATTGGTTTTTAGCTTCTATTTTAGAGAAAAGTGAAATTTATGTTTTTAGAACTTTAAATGAGTCTTACATTACAAAAATAGTTGAATCTATCATGAACATAGAACTAAGAGACAGAACATCTTATGAATATATCTATTTTTACATTATTGTTTATTTTGAATTCGAAATATATGTTGATGAATGTGAAACTGCCAAGGATAAAATTTTTACGTTACTTGAAAATTATTACAAGTTATTAGAAGTCAAAAATGTTTGTAAAGATTTTATAGATTGTTCTAAAACCACTGTTGATAATATTTGTCATACATATTGGGGGCTAATGGAAAATCTTAATATGATTTTGTTTTGCAGCAGTAATAAAACCTCTTTTAATGAGTATTATTGTTTAGTTGAGACAGTTTTAAGTGATTTATCGAAAAATGAAGATTTTATAAAAAAGTTTTTACGTAATTAAATTTTTTTTATAAAATAGAAAATGTATATTCATGCATAAAAATTGTTATAAATTTTTTTAAAAGCGGAATTTAAAGCATAATGTGTATGTTTGACTTTTAGCAAAGTTAATTCTTATTAATTTCTTACAATAGTGTATTATTAAGCTACAAAATATCTTAGAAATTAACACATAAAAAATTTAAAAATAATAATATAAGCCACTTTTTATTTAAACTATTTAATTAATTTATAACTTATTAGTAATAATTTACTTGAAAAAAATTTGTTGACAAGGCGTAAACCTCATGTATGTAGAGATTAAAGTGGGTTTGAATGTTAAAAAAAGAGGGAAAGACAGACCTGTGTAATTTAAGGCCTAAGAAATTAATACAACCAAATTAACCTTCTAATTTTTTATATATTTTAATAATTTGCTAAATATTAAAGTGTTTTCTATGGCTTGTGTTGAGATTCAAAAAATTGTCCTTTATGCACCTTTAAAATTTTGTAAAGCTTTTGAAGTATTTGCATAATAGTTTATTCTTATACTATTTTAAATAATGTTAGTAGAACAGGTATGCAATTTTTGTAAATTATTAATTCTATATTATCCTAACAAATGTAAAGATTAATATAAATAAAATTGTTAACCTATGGTATACTACTATATTACTTGTCAAATATATTTTTATAGTATCGAATTAAAAAATTTTTATTGGAGGGATAGAAATTTATGAGGAATGAAATATTAAGCAGTTTTTTTTAAAGTTTAAGTATATAAGTTTTAAAATTTATATTATTTATAACTGCACCACCAGGGGCAATTCTTTGTAGTATACTAGTCGTGTCTTATATTGCGTATCCATCATCTATAACCTTGCTTATAATTCAATCGATGGCTTTCAAGTGTCTTTTTTACTACTTTAAACTTAAGAAATGCTTATCCTTCATTATCTATACTAAGCTCTTGCATATACTTGCTGTAATATTTTGTAACTAACCTACTCAAAGTAATGACATACGGAAACACTACACATTTACACATATAACTTTATATTCATGTATAAATTTTAATTGCTTCACTAAAAATTTATATTTCTTTACTTTATTTAGTTTTACTGCTTGTAATTTCTATTTCTATTAAAAAAATAATTTTCCCTCCTTCTTAAATACAACTATGTTCGTTTATTACCTTATATTATTCCATCAATGGACATTCTTGTATCTAGTTTAATGACGCTACCTTTTTTACTTAATATTTTTTTGATTCTGTGGTTTCTATTTTCTTGGATATTCTAAGACAATATTTAAAGTTAATTTAGCAGAAATAATATGAAATTAATATTAGCAATTATAAATATAATATTACAAATATCTTTACCAACAAAATCCAAAAGGATTATTAACAATTATAAATTTTAACAAAAAAAGCCTTTTAGAAAGGTGATATTTTAACGATAGTATTTCTACATACCTATAACTCCATAATTATATCTATAAATATAATACATACAACATTTATAAAAATTTTATAATAAGTATGTAGATATATTTAACTTTAAATCTTCGACTGATGTAGAATCTATTATTCATAAATTATAAAAGATTCAAGCCATATATTCTTTTTATAAAATAATATTTTGACGTAACCATCGTCGAGGTGCTGTTCAATAATAAAAATAATATTTAAATGATTTACTTTAGTTGTGTTTGACTGCATCATAACTCCTCTAGTTGGGTTTTTTTTATATTTAAAATTAGATAATCAAAATCTACTGTTTTGACATTTAATTAAAATTTTAAATATTTAATTTGTGGGATACCACATATTTATTGATAGGCGTAGTACATCTTCAAATGCTTAAATTACTTCTTCAATACTTGATAAAAAATTTAAAATATTAATAAAGGATGTATTGTTAAGTTTAATTAAACGGTAATATTATACAAGACATTATTGATAAGCATAACATTCTCTATACAAGTGATTCCATAGACACATTGTGCTTGGACATATCTGAAAAAAATTATTGACGAAATACTAGAGCTGATTAAATAGTTAATAGTAAAAAGCAAAGTTGATGAGATTACAAAAAAAGTTTTGATACATTAAACTTCAAGCTGAATCACAAAATTTATTAACTGATGATAAACATCGAAATTTATTATTAAGCACTAAAAGAAAATGTTTTGTATTGTCTAATGACATTGATAATAACTATATATATAGCTTAAAACAACAGACAATATTGTCAGTTCATTGGACGCCAAAGTTACTTATTAATGATGTAGATACCTTACTACTTCACAATAATCTAAGGGCTAAGCAAGCAGTAAACTTGCATCACTTAATCTTTTTCTGAATTGTTGTGTAGGATAGCCAATAATAGATAAGAAAGGATAAAACCATCTCTTTTTTCTTTCATCCTGCGATACTATTGGTTTTGGGATGACACATCAAACATATTCATTGTTCATTGGTTTAAATAAGGAGAAAGAACTATTTAAGAAAGGTTACATTAATAAATATTGTTTTTACTAAAAACCATTTTTTAACACAGCTCAGTCTGTACAATGTTTTTGTTCGGAACAGGCATCGTTCCGACTCAGGTTCCATCAGTAATTAATAACTATTTATTAAAAAAAAGTAGGATAATGCTAAAACATTTTAGTTGGCTTGCTTAATGCTACTAAACTTTAAACTAATTATAAATTAAAAATTCTAATTATTTATTATTTTATCTTTAAAATTATTCAAATGAAGTATCAATGATATTATTTAAACAGATTAACAGTGATATAAATTAAAAGTTAAAAAATTAGTGTATAGGAACTTATACAGATTCTGTTTTTAGTACAAAAACATTTATATTTCATTGCAGCTATCTAAATAGTTTTTAGAAACTGTTATTATATAAAATGACTTTAAACATATAATAAATATTTTTTATATATTCAATAAGTATATGGTTTGTTTTTGATTTAAAAAACATTGTATTCCTTACATCAACACGAATTATTGCATATTTGTATATTCAAACAATCAAGAGCTCTTTTTAAATCAACAATCATATTTATAAAAGAATGAAGGTTTTACATATTCGGTCTTTCGTAACAATTTATGAATACTATTATTTTGCAAAAATATTCTTTAAATCTTTTATAAAAAATTCGTGTATTCAAAAACATTAATGTGTTTGGATGTTGCATTCCTTTTTCGAAATATTGTTCGATAATAGAAAAAATAGTGAAACTATTTATTAAAATTTCGTTAGACTGTTTTTATGATAAATCCTCACTGGGGGGTTTTTTATTTATAAGGAATTTTTAATTAACCTCAAAATATTTTACATTTGATATTTTTGGCTTTATGTGTTTAGATTTTATAACTTTGTGATAGTAATAAATTTATTGTTTAAAGTGCTGTTATCTGTTCCTTTTAAATCTTAAAATAAAATAAACATTACATGTCTTATCATAGCTTTTTTGCGAATTATACAATCAAAAAAGCAATATCAAAAAATGGTAAAAACAAAAATGAATGTTGAAGTCGGTGTGAAAACAAGAAAGGCCTCAACGCTGAAACATGATAATGTTTGAAATTTAAAACATGTTTCAGAAATAAATATAAATAGAGTAAAAGTCCGGCAAGAATGCCAAAGAAAAATTCCATTAAATCCTTTTATTCTAAAACATCTCCTGATTGTAACAGATAGCTGTTGATTATTTTAACAGAAGAATGTGAGCTCGGCCATTGAGAAACAAAAATGCTTGGGGAATAGTGGAATTTACAAAAGATTTATATAGACAAAGGAAAAAACAGAGGCTATAGTAACAGAAAGCGGCAAGGAATTTCAAAATGATCTACTAAGAAATTGTATTGTAATTTAGTTGTAGATTCATTGTAGATTAAGTGTTGAATTGTACACAAGCAATGATAAAGTTGAGAAAATTATAAGAACAATCAAAGAAAGTATATTAAAAAGCAATAAGAAAAGATTTATCAACAAACTAGCAGAATTAATAGAAAAATGTAATATAAGTTTTCACATTGAAATTGGATGCACATCATTAGAAGCAGTAAATGATAAATCAGGAAAGGTAATAATAGAGAATAGTTTTGATGGGAAATATGCCAATGAATTTAAGAACCGTTTTCTCGAGAAATTTAAGAAAAATAGTTGGGCGAAAATTTCTAAAAATTGAAATCTGATTGGGTGTGTGTAGCAAGTATACTAAAGGAAGGGTTCTAAACGAATGGAAAGTTGTTGAGAGATGTCCTGGTATTAGTATATAGTAAGATTAAAGAATGGAAGACTGATGAAGAAAAGACATTATGAGCTGAAAGCTAGAAAAAAATGTAGGGAGATATGAGAATAATCGTTTGGGTTTGGGGATGTTATATATTGTTATAAAATTTAACCTCAATAACAAAGGTTCTTACATATAGTATTATTAATTTTTTTTTTAATTTTTATCCTTAAATTGATGAGAGAAGCGGAATAAGATGTTTTAATTATAGGAGATGAAAACGAAATTTTAACTTTATTGTTTGGATATTATTTAGTTGAAGATAAACAGATTTGTAAGTTTTATTTAAAGATATGTGCCTCATGCATTAATTAAAATTCCTGATAAGCTCGAGTTAATATCCTGCTTCATGGTTGTCAGCACTGTTAAACAACCATCTCTCTGCGGTCCAATTCTTGGCTCTCCTTTTTTTAAATTTATATGAAAACAATACTAAAAGCAGATTATTACTACGCGTATGGTGATAATTATTCTAAAATAATTGAACATTTGAGCATTGAAATAACTTCTGAAGAAGCAGCAAAACATTATATAAAACGATTTGCTTTATTTTTCACAAATAATCCTTTAAACTGAAATGTCCTAATATTATTGTGCAAATAGATGAAACCAAGTTGAGTTATGATGTTAACGGTCACAGAGGTAAATTTTCGTAGGCCTGTTGGTGTTTTTGCATCGTAGACACATAATTAAAACTACATTAGGATATGATTTTTTTTGTAGAACCTAGATCTCCAAGCGTTCTTACTTCTTTAATAAATTCTATTGTAAAAGCCGAAAATATTTTACACTCCGATGAAATAAAATCTTATAGAAGTTTATCTAACTCAGATAATTATGACTATTACACTGTTTGTCATAAATAAAATTTTATATCTTATTTCTGGCATTCATATTCAGCACTAAGAATCTTTTAAAATGAGCTTAAGGTTAAATATAAGCAAGAAAGAGATTAAATTAAGCTTAAGGAAAAGCGTTTTTATTAGAATTAATGTTTAGAGAGCGGCATGCTGTTAAAAAATTTTTATCTATTTTTATTTATTAAAATTGTTTTTATTAACCGGGGGACTGAGAGGACTTTAATACAAACTGGGGGACTGGGATGATCTAAATAAAAAGGCGGACTGGGAGGATCTTAATAGAAAACGTGGGACTGAGATGACCTGATCCTATTATCAAACCCCGTTTGGTAACATTTCTAAAAAATTTTATAGCGTGGCCATTTTTGGCCTATGTAAGGTTTTGTAGAATTTTAAATTATGTTGTATGAAATTTAACTTTTTTTATTCGTTACGCTGTTAGAGGTAAAAAATAACATTTATTTTTTTCAAACTATAAAAAAAATGAATTTTGCATTGTGAGTAAATATTAAAACGCAGAATTTTATATTTTCAATTTTCGAATCTTTTCTACGTATGAATTGCAAAGATCGACACATGGGTTAAGCCCTTTGCGGGTTTTAATTACTTAAATAATATTGATGCTTACATGCATAATCAATATTTTTAGACATGAAAAATATTTTTTTATCGTTAATTTTTCTACAAAACAAAAAAAATATTAAAAAGAATAGATGTAATTAGCAATTATGTTAATAAATAATACAAACAACCTTTGAAAAAATTTAATGTTGATCATTTTTTTCAAATATTTCTCTTAATTTCGATAGTCTACTGTAAAATAAATTAAATCTTCTTTCAACAAAAAATATTAACCTGTTAACTTCATAAAAATCACAATAAGAAACACAACAAAAGACGCCGTCATAAATTCTGTGTAAATTTTTACAAATAAATTTAAAAATTAAAAGTTTTTGAGACACGTCTGCATACCTGCTAAATTGATTAAATGCTAGATTTAATGAATTTAAAAAATCTTCCTTATTTTTCTTTTTCTTTGTATTAATATAAATTTCACATATAGTCTTTAAAAAACTTAAAAGATTTTTTAGAGCAAAAATTGATTTTTGTTTCAAGTCATCAGAAAGATTAGATATTTCAAGTTTCTTAATAAATTGCGGCATTCGACTTTTAATTGTAAGCTTAAAAAACATTCTAAACTTCTTTTCAGATTCCTTGTATTTTCCAAAAAGTTCGCGCTCGCTAGCTGTAAATTGACTTTTTAGTGTTGTTCCACTAGTCTTATTTTTTCTTTTAGACTTAGAAGCAATTTCATCGCCGTTTGTTTGTATATTAGATACTTTGTTAGTTTTTGGTTTTGTCTCTTTATCTTTTTCGTTGTTATCATTTTTGTAAGAATTATTTAAAGAATAACTACCTTTAGAGGTATTTTTTAACAATACATTATCAAAATTAAATAGAGCATCTGTTTGAACATCATTTAGTTCATTTACACCATTAGTTTTTAAGTAATAATTTTGATTTTTTGACAAAACCAAAACATTATTATTTTTCTGTAAAAATGCATTGTTTTCTGAAGTAACACATTGTTTTTGTATTAAATCATTTTGATTTTTATGTAATAATAAATTCTTATTATTATTCCAAGATGTATTAATTTGAGAGTGTTCTGCTGTATAATTCCCACCACTATTTGAGGTTTTGAGACATGTTTTGTCACTTATCGATTGTTTTGATGTACAATATTGTTTCTTAGATACATATTTAGCAGCTGTGCTTCTTGTGAAATCTTGTGGTATCAAATTGTTCTCTTCACTTATTGAAGACGAAAAATTACATAAATCATAATTAACATTTTTACATTTACCGTTTAAATCTTTTCCTGTAAAATCTGTTAATAAATTAGAATCAGATTGATTTACATCTAAATATTTATTTACTGTCTTAATCGCTTCTTGACTCTTTTGTGGTATACCTACGTTCTCACAAAAATCTCTATTTTCGTATGCTTTTGAAGTACTTGATATATTTATTCTTAGATCTAATGGTTCATTATGATCTAATATTGCTGTTGAACAAAAGATTGCCTGTAACCATGAAAACATTTAACGGCTAAAATATTTAAAAATTTATCAGAATTTACAATTAGAATATCAATCAGCATTAAACTATTTATATGAAAGAATGGATTCAATACGTCAAACCTACATATGATCAAAAAAGTAAATTATCACAAAAATATAAATTAATTTTTTTAGAAATTTATACTGATAAAGATAAAATTCTAAGTAAAATATTTTACTGTTAAAAAATATTAACAGGAATGTAAAATAAATAATTAATCAATAACAAATTAATTTAATTGTAATCAGAACTTCAATTAGAGTGATCTTGTTTTAAAAATAACTGTGTACAGACTAAGCTCTAAAGAAACCTTTTTAGAAAAAATAATATTTTTCTAAAATCTTTTCTTTTTATTTAATTTAGTTAAATTAAAAAAAATGATTTTAAGACAAATTATATTGTATATAATAAATAAGGACAGGGGGTTTTAGATTCATTTAGTTTTTCTTGCTTTTGCTGCAAAGGACAGTATACAATGCAGAGAGTCAAAAAAAATTAAAATATTTTTCTTTATTATAATAAACTAAAATGTATGATACAATCTTTTAAATGTTATGTTTACGTTCAAGACAAATGCAAATAGTTTATTTACAGTAAAAAGTGATTATGTTTTTACTTTACTTAAAATTATTAGCATTCTAAACTAAGGACCACATAAATTAATATTTTTTAACATTTTCGCTTGTGGTATACAGCCACTTAAGATACTTTAAGTCAAATAATTTATTAGAAAATAATTCTTCTTTTTAATAGTTTTGATTGGTAGAAATTAAAATAAATATTTAAACAAAATAAATTAACATTAATGAGATGTGGTTAATAATAATACATTGTTATTATATAATGTATAAACATTAAAAATATTTATTAAAATGTTGTGTCAAAGAATAAAATAAAAATATAATTTTGTATGTTACTGCTCGTATATTATATGCAAATGTTCAATTAAATATGCATCTAATGTTAGTGTTTGTAAAAATTGTCATAACTCTAAAATAATTATCTTGTAATTTTAGTGCTTTTTACTTATAAATTTAATGCCAAATAAATAAAAGGTGTTACTAAAATATGTAACCAAGTAAGATAAAATGTTAATAAAAAATTTATGTTTTATTACTAAGATGCAAAGTGGTTTTTTATTTAATTAATGGATTTTTATATAATAGTTTTTTTAAGTAAGAATTTTTTTTGGAATAAGTATTAAATTTATAAGGACTTTATATAAAGTTAAATAACATTTATTAATTACTAATAATTACAATAAATTGTAAATAAAACTTCACATTTATCAATCTTCGAAGTATGAAGCGAATGAATTGTATGTGATAATAAATCTTAAAAACTAAATACTAAATTATTTAAAAAATTAGTTTGAATGAATAATGAGGCTTATACGAAATATTTGAAAATAAACGACTAATAAATTGCAAATAATTAAATTTCATAATTTATAGCTAAATAAATTTTTTAAAACTTATTTTTATACTATTTCAATGTTGTAGTTACTATTAAATATAAATTTGCCATGACAAATTAAGTTCTTTGTATGTAAAACATAAAACGATTAAAAAACAGGCCGAAGGTTCAATAGGCAATGCTATCTATGATTGTGTAAGCAGGAACCAGCCTTAATTTTGAAAGGATCTTCTTATAATTGATACATTTCGTTTCTGACGAGAATTAAAATTTTTATTCTTTTTTTGAATATTAGCCGACAACTACGCCTATGGGCACAATAGCGGAATTATATGAATACAAATTGTTTAAATATCTAATACCAATTTTTAAAATAATGTTTATTTTTGAAAATAAATTCATTACAACGTCTTCTGATATTTTTTTTCAATTTTTACAAAATAAAATTTTATTAGTTTTTGTTCAAACCGTGTTTTAGCTTACAATAAATTAAGAAGCATAAACAATGTTGTTAACTAAAAGTTGCATAATTGTGTAAAATTTTTGGTTAAATATATGTGTTTCTATTATTATTTATTATTGTTGTATTCATGTCTTTTCACACTCTCATTTTGCTAAGATGTAATATTTATTTTAATATTTTTAAACTACTTAACATTCTAAAACGTTTTAAATTATTTTTTTTATGTATATTTTTTCATTTTTCTGTTCTATTACATCTTATGGGTTTTTAAGCTATTTATTTCTCAGAGTTTGTCAACATTATTAGTAGTTTTTCTTAAATTTGCAAATTATTGGGGTAAATTGACACTTGTCAAATGAAAATTTTTTTTAAATATAAACACATTTAAAGATTAAATTACGAAATCATCGGACTTTTTTACTATTAAGTTTGGACGTGATTTTGTATATCAAAATTTAACGAATCATATTAATTCGATAAAATTATATTTATAAACAAAATAAATGCAAAAAGATTAAGAATTGTTTTGAAGGTAATTTTAAATTAAGAAATAGAACATCAAAATAGTTAGAAATGATTTTTTTATAATGTAATCAATAACATTATTTTTTAAAATTTGATACAATAAAATGAAAAATGCTATATGGAAATTAGTATCACAACAAAATAAAGATTTAAAAATAAAATGTCTTCTTGCTTAAATTGTTAGTATATTTATTTATTTCTTGATTTTGTCGTGCTATAAATAAATGTCTTTAAAATTAAAATATTAATAAAAATCCTTTTTACCTAATTGAGTAAATATAATTAACGATTAACCAAAATGCGTGTTTATTTTCTTACCTATTTAGTCTCTAAAGTATAAATATTATTTTATAAACCATTTAAAATAATGCTTACAACTACAAATTTTGTGTTTTTTTATATTTCTTTTTCTTTTATTGTTACAATGTCACTGTTTTAAATAGCATGTCAGGCTCTTTCTCTACAAAAGTTTGATTAAATCTAAATATATTCTAGGTTTGGTTTTTTTACTTAAATTATACTATCTTCTAGTATTATTTCATTAAGCGTCATCTTAATGTCGAATTAACACATTGTTAAATACATTAAATATCTTCAAATTTTTACAATATAAATGTTTTTATATTTTTTGTGTACTAATATTTTTAAATCTTTCTACAGAGTTTTAGAATTAAAAATATTTAAAGTAAATCTTTTGTTTTTTATTTTCCGTGGGGGGTATAAAAATCTATTAAAATGATAAAATTGAAAGAATGTAGAAAATCATAATGTAGCTATGTTTTGAACAAAAACCATTTTGCATGTAATTAGCCACAGTGATATATTTTTAACTCTATTTTTATTTTTTTACAAATATTTTTTAATTATAAAAAACCTTCTTTTGCTTTATCAAAAAAAGAGTTACTATTTAGATGTCAAAGTAAATTAGTATTGTAAATCAAACAATTTACAACATTTCAGAATTTTACCGGTTTACCCTACTTTTAAACGTGCAATTTTTAATGACCTAAATTGTATAATATCTTTGTAAAAGACCAATTATCGTTTTTAATCTGACCCTATTTCGTTTGTAATTATATCAATTTATTATTTATTAGCATTATAAATATTGCAAAATTCCCACTTTATCAATTTTTATTCTATTAATTGTTCTTTTACAACTAAATGCATGATTATTTATATCTTATTTTATAGGTTAAATGTTTCCATGTAGAAAAATAACCATCTTCTTTTGAAGGCATACCCCCATTCGCTATATCTACAATATTATTCATTTTAAAGTTTTGCAAATTGTATTCATAAAGATTTTACTTTAACATTTTACAAATGTAAAATATTTACAGCGTGGTGACTTCTTTCTATTAACTTTCTAGTAAACATTTTATCAAAAATTTTTGTTCTGTTTATTTATTTTACCTATCAGTAAAAGATTTACAGTTCGGTCTTAAATATTTTCACCATTAAATTTATATTTCACTATCTATTCCTACTTTTTAATTTATGCATTGCTAAGGGTAAAATTTATTATAAAATATTAATTATTTCTAGAAAAGTTAGATTTTTAAACATTTGGTTAAACACTGCAGTATAATAAGCATAATAGATAATTTAAACCACAAAAAAATATAAATATTTTGTTAAGTAGTTTACGTCACGGTAAAAAGGTTGTATTTTATTAGAAAAATCAAATCTTATTTATTTTCCTGTAAATAAATCTTATAATTTTTATTCGTAAAAATAAAATAGTTAAGAATCTCATAAAGTTTAAATTAAGGTGACATAATAAAATTTTGAAAAATTTTATAAATGTCATATTCTGTTATTTTAGTAAGCTCCTATTTATGTAAAGTTCTGATACGGGGAAATACATAAAAGAATGAATTTTTGAACGACTACTGTAGATAAGAAATCAAAAAATTATTATGTACAATGTAAAGTTGAATATTATTTAAGAGCAAGATATTTGAAATAATTGTATGTATAGATTTTTTAGGATTATTTTTTAAATTTAAAGAAGGATGATGGAATCATCATCATCAATCATCTATCTATCTGTATATATAAAAAGTTTGAATTTGAACATTTTTTTATTTTTTAACCCTTCTTTTTTTAAAATTGTGAAATTCTGTTTTAAT